GGTAAGGTGTTCATGGTATATCTGAGATAATTTATTACAAGTGATGATTAATTGCCAATGTAGCAAATGGGGATCAAATGGATCAAGATCAAGTGCCCGCCTTCAAGGAATTCGGACTTGCAGAACTTCGTGCTGCCACAAATGGTTTCAGCAGTGAACTTATAGTTTCAGAGAGTGGTGAGAAAGCTCCAAATGTTGTCTACAGAGGTAAGCTTAGGAGTAACAGGCTTGTCGCCATCAAGCGTTTTTCGAAGCAGTCATGGCCCGATCCTCAGCAGTTTGTGGTAATTTCTTCTTTTCTGATGTAGCAGTTCCAGCTTTCATATTTAAACCTTGCATTTGCTAATTGCTAACTTTTTTTTTCCCTTTCCGAATTGATACTAAAGTCCTCTCTCGCATTTCGGCTCGCAGTTTTTTTATTTTATTTTGAGCTGGATTTGTTGGCATGTGCGTGGGACTGATTCTATTTGGTTGGAGAAGGGAACTCTCTAATGTGTTCATGTTAATGATTTTTGTTAATAGATTTTATTCATGTAGCAGTTGCCCTTATTAATTTATTTACTTGTTATTCTCTAATAATTGTTGGAAGATTTAGTCTACATCTTTTGTCAAATGTTCTTCGGGGCTTTTCATATAATTATGAAGCTGTTCTTTGACCATGCGCCAGTAGCTACGCTTGGTGTGTTTGTTATGCCTCCTTTCTATTTCTTGAAGAAATGGTTACATAGGACTTTACAACTATGCTTATTTTTATAAATAATGTTAAATTGTTGCAGGCAGAGGCTGCTGGAGTTGGCAAGGTTCGGCATAAGCGATTGGTTAACTTAATAGGATGCTGTGCTGAAGGCGATGAACGCCTGTTAGTTGCAGAGTACATGCCTAATGATACACTTTCGAAGCACCTTTTCCACTGTACGGTCATCTTTTCCTGAAATGAAATACACTGTGTACGTGTGTGTGTGTGTGTGTGTAAGTAGAATAATACAAATTGGAAATATCTGATAATTTTTTTTTTCACGATGTCTCTCTTTGATAAAGGGGATAAGCAGCCTTTGCAATGGGAAATGCGGGTGAGAGTTGCGTATCACATAGCACAAGCTCTTGACCATTGCAATACTGAGAATAGGAAAGTCTATCATGACTTGAATGCCTACAGGGTTCTTTTTGATGAGGTATTCTTGTAAATTTAAGTGGATTGGTGGGATGCAATGGAGTTCTTCTTAACAGCAACATCGCAATATTTTTCAAGGGATAAATTATAGTCAACCAATGGCCAATATAGATAATAAAGGATCTTCTATGTCTTTGTCTACCAACCATATGCTCAGCTTCACCGTATAATTGGTTGTTTATCAAGTGTGACATGATTGTTACAATTAAGTGATTGACGATATTGGCTTATGATAAAATCCTTTCTTCACTATCAGCCAGATTCTACTGAAAGAACCACAGAAATTTTCGAAGTTTCTTGAGTTCCTATTCGATTTCCAGCCTAATTTTGCATATCTTTTCTATCCATAAATATTGTTGTCACTAGTAATGGATGTTGTGGTATTTTGACTGGATATTTTTTTATTTTTCATTTTTGTTGGGTAACAGGATGGTGATCCTAGGTTATCAAGTTTTGGCTTGATGAAGAATAGTAGGGATGGGAAGAGTTATAGCACAAATTTGGCTTACACTCCCCCTGAGTTTTTGAGAACAGGTACATTTTGTTTGGGCGTACACATCAATGAGGCTCTAAGATTAAGCAATGGCACAGATCAAAATTACATATTTTCGATTTGAGCATGAAGAGTGTTTTCTGTTTCTGACTAGCTCTCTCATTAAATTAAAATCTAAATTTTTTTATTTAGAAAATACTCATGAACCATTAATGCATGGATGTGATTTTGAAGAACCAGAGTTTCTGAAAGTATTGTTCAAAGTGGAAACATTTTGATCTTGAATCTCGGCCTGCTAACTCAGTAAATTACTGTGAATTCCACGATTGTATAACTAAAAGATTTGTGTAGCACAGAATTTTATGCTGCTTCTGAACTGAAGTAATATAACATGCTGAAAGCAATGCATGCTTACAGTATTTTTTTTTATTTATTTTTTTATTATTATTTTTTTTTTATCATCATGAGAAATCTTTCTAAGCCATGTTTTGGTGAATTTCCTGAAAACTTGTTTCATTTATTTATTTATTTTCTTAACTTTTCTCCCACATTCAGGCAGGGTCATTCCCGAGAGTGTGATATACAGTTATGGAACTGTTCTTCTGGATCTTTTGAGCGGAAAACATATCCCGCCTAGTCATGTATGGTGCATTCTATCACTCCGCTTGCGTGTTGACTTTCAAACTTACTCTGTTACATTATTAATATGAGTTCACTTGGCCATGCTTTAAGTACCTTCTAGATTGTTCTCTCCGAGTGCCTCTTTCTCAACTCAGTAATAAGACACACGTATAAATAAAAATTGTTCATTTTATTCTCAGTTTCACCTAGCTATGACTCATGAGTTATTGATGTCTTGTACACATTTTCATGGAGAAAATTTGATATTTTCTGCAACTTCTTGTGTAAAGATATGACCACAAAATTAGTTTATCATGTTCATGCACTTTATCAAAAGCGATCAACTCGAGGCTCCATTTTCGACTGTGCTGTCTAATGCACCACAAATTTTATTACTAGGTGTAAGAGGGCCGAATAAGCGAATAATCGGAATAACATTTATTTTAATTATATTCCTGCTTCAGGCTTTGGATTTGATAAGGGGCAAAAATGTCTTAATGCTGATGGACTCATCCCTGGAAGGACAATATGCCAATGAAGATGCAACTGCATTGGTCGAGCTCGCCTCAAAGTGTCTTCAGTATGAAGCAAGAGATAGGCCTGATGTTAAGTTTCTTCTTACTTCAGTTGCACCCCTTCAAAAACAGACACAAGTACATCTCAGTTTTCCTTTAGTCGATATCTTGTTTTTATAAAATATTGTTTTTTTATAGTTATTACAGTTCCGTTACATTTTTTTGTACTTTTTTTTTTTT